GTGTGTGTGTGTGCGTGTGTGTGTGCGTGTATTTAGATTATAAAATACATAGAGCTTGCTATTTAGCGGGAATTAGTGCTATACAAATGCTTTATATAATTACTATTGTTATACACAGGTAGGTGCGCACAGACTTCCATACGTACGTACGTAAATGCACACGTACGAGCGTTATTGTATACATACATATACATACATTCACACAGTGCAGCATTTTTCTCATTTCCAATACTTTAGTTAAAGAATTACGTTCAGTTAGTTTTAAGTCTTTTAGATTTTTCATTTTTGCAAAATCCAAGTCATAAACAACTTAATCAAGATCACTTGGCATAATTAAGGTTGACAAACGAGGGAACCGTTTAATAGCCAGACAAAATACTGTTTGGTCATCATTCAGCTATACTCGAGGTGAAAGTTAATATGATTGGAGACTGAACATTGTTAAATGAAAAGATCTCTTATGGAAGTAATCTAAAATGACAGTTGAAATCTATAATAATTATCATTTTGAATTAAAAGAACAGAAATCGTTGCTGGAGTATGGTACACTCTAGGGAAAGTCACCCGATGGAAGCGAGACAGAGATTGATACGCGGAATCTGTGGAGATTCATCAATATATCTCACTTTCACTGGGAGTGACCAGAACGTTTTAGAATTTGTATAAACGCTCTTCTCAGCGCAAAGTGGGCAGAAGCTACGTTATTAACACATAAAGCAGTGTAATGAGAAATATGCTGAAAGGCTCTTTGGCAAAAGCTATGCCACCGTTCTGCCTGCGGTACGTCACACGATTAAATCTTCATTCACCCTTCCTCTATGATAGCGTCCTTTACAGAACTTCGCATCATGGGGATCGAAACGCCATGGAATTTCCGATGGGTTCTTGTCACTCTCTGCTTCGGAAAAAGAGGGGTGTACAATTTATACATTTGAACATGGGTCTTCTTCAATATTACTTTATTGCCTGTTCAAGTGTAAAAATTGTTCACCCCCCATTCCCGCAATTTAGATAACTGGGGTGTGTTTGGTCCCTGCTTGTTATGGTCAATATTTGCCGAGTGGGGTATGCACCCCAGCTGAAGGGTGGAAATCCCAGGTAAAACATCTTGAGTGAGGCTAGAACTCAAACCTTGTGCAGTTAAGGTCGAGAGCATACCCATTAGTTGACTTAACCGGTATTGACAGTTAGAGAAGAATTATATAACCAACTTTTGAAATATTAAAAGCCGTGGTTACCACATATAGAAACGGAAGAAGCTGTGTTTATTATCGTTGATGTTACCTCAAGAATGACGCTAAAAAATTTGGAGTTTATTTAAATAAACACGGAACTCAACACAGTGAACCGATTTTCAGAATGCAAAACATACAGTGGGAACTTATACTTCGCTTTTCAGATTCGAAAAACATGCCCATAAATTTTTTAAAGTAAGAGCCCATAAACTTTTCTTTTTTTTTAAAGATCTCGATTCAGCAAGAAAGAAATCGCCAGGGACGACGAAGACACAACATTCAGCTGATCAAAACTTGAAAGTCATGTCAAGACGTTCGTTGATATTCAAATTCAATGAGAACCATGAACTCATGGACACACACACAAGAGTAAAATAGAACAAGGTTCTCAGTTTCCACATTTTCCCTTCGAGATATCAACATATTGACCCTGAAAAAAATCCCCAGTTCCGCGAACGGACGCTGAACATTATTGGTGAACCAACCAAACAAACAAGGACTACAGTTTTCAGACGGGCAGACATTACGATCTCTTTTGGGAAACATTCCAACATTGTTATATAAAACCCCATTGACGCAGATCGACTGCCAATTCGAAATAAGCACATGAATATTCATCGAACAGAGAAATATGGAACGGGATCGTAAGCACGGGACGTTCAATCATATCTTGAACTTTCAGTACGTTACGAAATAGCTGCCCAAGACACAGGTATCAGATCTAGATGGCAGTTGTTAGTTAAAGATCAGCAGATATTTTACCGAACCGTGCTATGAAAAAAAAAGATTTAACTTCATTTGTTTTATTTATTTATTTTTTTATTTTTTATTTTTTGTCTTGCGTTACTTTTCTCGAAAATGTGAAATCTCGATGTCTGAATTCTATGATCCTCGTCAGCCAAGACGTTACGTGCAGCTCGTCAATAAGGATATGTTGTTGGTCGCTGTATACTGGGTCATTAATCTGTCGCGTATCAGTCAGTGTTCTCGTATCTCTCAACATACGTGCGATATAACAGATAACAAGCAGTACATAACTAAATAAAGATATTCATGTTAAAAGACTTTTCCAGAGACACGTACTAAATCTCTCTTAACGATGTGGTGCTTCAAAAAACGTACAACCCCAGACAGATCAATTTTAATGATTTTGTATTGTTTGTGTTCGCCATATAATTGTGTTGTATCTGTTAGGAATGAAAAAATAAACAAAAGGAAATCGTGGAGAGTATAGTAATGATAGTAAACTTATTGATTAAACTTTGAGAAAATCAAAATTAAAAGATCAAACAAACAAACAAATACACCACCAAAAAAACAAAACAAACAAAGAACGCAAAACCACCATTTCGGAACTACATGGTGACCGTAAAGATGGTTCCAGTGGGGAACGGGATAGAGGGTGCCCACGTCCCTCGTGACTCATTGGAGCAGAGGAAGATAGGACTAACGCTAACATTACTTAAACGCAATCCCTCATCATCACTCACCACCACTATTATTTCTAAAATCGTCACTGCTCACAGATCAATGACTTACATCTATAATCCTGGAATCTCTATCTGCTATTAATGCTAATTGTTATACTAAGTATGCACGTAATACACCATTGGACACTCTTATGCACTTTTTCCACTAATCAGATGGCGTCAATTTCATATAAATGGGCATGGAAAAAAAAACGCCAAACAAAACAAATTCCAAATATTAAACATTCCTTTAAAAAAGTCAAACTTACCCAGAAGATCCGCCATGGATAGGTTCACAAGGAAGTAATTAGCCGAACTCTTGCGCATGTGTGCATCGGTGAGGATGACGAGCAGGACGATGATGTTACCGATGACAGCGACGAGAAAGACGGGGACGTAGAGGACGATGAGGACGATGTTGTGTGTGTCATTGATGCCGTCATAGGTCTCATAGTGCTTAAACAGCTCTCGAAGGGACGTGTTGTTGCTCATGTTGAGGTCTTTGAAATCAAGAATATCCATCTGGATCGAAAAAAACAGACACACAACATTATGAGGTGAACTATGCCGTTTAGAATAGCTAGAATCCAGTATAATTATTGCCCAGTTTTACCCAAAACTGAGCTACAATTTGAATCAAGCTCTGTCACATCGCTTAGTAAAAAAAAAAATCAAGATCGAAACCTAAAACGGCTATTTTCTCCGATTTTCTCGTACCGCTGTGGAAATTAAAATCATAGTTCTAATGATTATGAAAAGGGACAACTTGAGTCTGTGGTGAAGTGGTTAGGCGCTTCGCTCTAGCGTGCAGGAGACCTGAGTTCAAGTATCTGTCTTTCAGCTGGAATGTTGTATCTCTCTCAGCCTGGGCTGGTCCTGACAGCAAGGTAAATAAGCACGCATTATAATTGTCCCCCCTCGAGATTCGAACTTGGTCTCCTGAGGGCGACTTCGAAGTGTCTAACCACTACACTAGCAGGGACATAGACAACCTTTGTACAAAACGTGAAAGTTACGGGGCCCCTTTTACTGAGAAAACGCCCAAAACACATTCGATGATCAATAAATTTAAGGGCAGACGCATTTGAATGAGTTAATGGAAAGGTAATGAAGCAAAGTTTATGCTTGCAAATAAACTGAACTAGCTAAAGCCTACTTAACCGTGGGGTGAGCATGATCATGCCTCGTTAACCAGGAAGGCAGTTGGGCGGCTCAAAGAGACGGCAACTGCAGTGGGCTACTGGCAGGCCCATGCTAAATGGTCTTTATGAATCTGGGGCACTTCTAAAGGTTCAATGAACTTTGGCTGTGGGTAGTCTTCGGGTTGAAGTGCGTATGCAAACAAAGCCGACATCACGAGTTGTACTTTTCATTTCCAGACCTACACAATCAAGAACACAACTCGTTTTCATTTTGTTTTTAAAAATGTTATAAGCAGCAAACCGATTTATGTAGTCTGCTCACTCCTTCGGAAAAGAAAACAGTAACAGTACCTTTGATTTTATTTAAAAGACCAGCCGCACTGTATGTCCAGCTCTTGATTACTAGATTCCATCAACAAAAGTCAATCTGAGAGGCAGTCAGCGGTACGAGTATACAAGGTATTCAAATTCTTATATAGTTTGAAAAAAAATAAAACCTTGGCCTCATAAGTTCATCATCACATCTGTGACTTCGACCTTGGTAGAGATTTGGGGAACAAGTCTGTGACGTCAAGTCTTCACCGTAAAGCAGTCTTTACTAGCACTTTTGGTCTATGGCTTTTTTAAGTGTGTAGAATAACGATACCAGGAAGAATCTTTTAAATTTGAAACCTAGGTTTGCCAACGCATTTGATTTAAACTCTCGAGCTGTCTTTGTAAACACAGCTGAGTGTTCTTTAAGACAAAGACAAAAGCAGTTTTTAAAATCAATTTTAAGCTGAAGTGCAATTGATTTTAAAAAATGTATTTTCTTTCACATTTCGCACACCCAGCGTCGATCTTTGGTGCTACTGGCCGGAAGCAGTGTATGTGAAAGCAATTGAGCGATTCAAGGAGGTCAGTTTGTAGAAATATACAATGCTCCATTTTGGAACAGAAGCTATTGACAGTTTCCGTTTAATGTTGTAATAGAGCTCATTCTCTAGGTTGAACACTTGTGTAACAAATATTTTCTTCAGTACTATTTACTCGTTCTCTAAAAGCTCAGACATGGGAAGACTTCGAAGAGAATAGTTCTAAATTAGAAGGAAAGGATCGATTTCATCATTCTCCACTTCATTTTCAGAGGGTTGAAAAGGTTTTCTTGCCTTGCAGGTTGGTCTAAAGTGAAAAGAACCTTTACTATTCTTACTGCCCTTGGGTCCTGTATATCGGACTATTGATTTCAAGCTAACTACAGCTTAATAGATGTACTATACAGTTTGAAACCCTCCAAGAAACTGTTCTGATGCACTTGGTGCGTTTAAGATCCATGAGTTTCAAGAATCTCTTGGACCACACAATTCTTTCTTTTTTTCTTTTCTTTTCTTTTTTTAAATTTTTATTTACAAATTAGCAATAATAAAAATAAAATCTAGGTTTACTACAATATTTTTCCTTTCACAAGTAGGAAAATATATTATACAGATTTTACCCTTGGGGTTATTGATATCTAGAGTTATATGAGGAAAGGATCTAAGAGAAAGTAAACGAAAATGAAACAGCCATTATAGGGGTCCACCTCTTGAAGGGTGGCCAATTTGTCTTAATATATCGGAATCTACGGAGCGGAAGAAATCATGCAGAAGAACCAGAAATAGATCACGGTGGTTCGTACTCAAATCGAGACGCAGATGAAAATGAATGAATAGCAGGATCAATGCATTTTCAAAAAGCTTACCATTTACTGCTGTTGTAAAAGCAACTTAAAATAGAGCACTATATAAAAATTACTCGCTTCGTAGAATTCTTCCTTCGTCATTAGAGCTTTGGAGATTTGATTGATATCCAATAAATGTACAAAGCATTTTCTGTGCTTAGGGTATCTAAAAGCAATTAACGATGTTTTTTATATGAAGTTTAGGCTTTCATTTTTTTAGAATTCCATTGAGGACCATCACATTGTATAGTGCCGGGTTTGCACCAGATCTATCTTTTGAAGAAAGCGTTGCGATTTTAAAATTTTTTATTAGGTTACTTATATTACAGTGCTCAGCGCTTTGGGACAGAGGGATCCACAAAAGAGTCCCCAGCTCCCTCTCCCTTCCACTCCTCTCCTCCCTTTCTTTTCCAGGCACTTATTTTTGAGTAGATTACGAAGGCAAGAAATAAACCCACATTTTAAGAAGACGGGGGTGGAGGGGAGGGGGAGAAATTCCTTAAATGGTAGAAAAACACGCTTCGTCAGTTATGCACAGCCGTCACATAACCGACATATACTTTAATGTATTGTCTCGATCAGCGTCTCCGACTCTTCAATTATTTAAACCACTTCCTCTGCCTCCGAAATTAGCACTTTGTGTCTGTGGGGCGTTATTTCAACCTTAAAGTGAGGCCGGGAATGCTTCGACCGGCCCATCAGGGTACACTTTATAACCACCAAAAGCCCCTCCCCTCCTCCTACCCAAACACTCATCTCTTAGCATTTCAATATCCAAGCAGACTAGAATCTACGCCAGGCTAGAAAAAAATGATCAATGAATAGAAGATAATCTGTAATTGTATAAACTTCCTTTTCAAAGAATAGACAGAAACATTCTAACATGTACTTTCCCTTTTCCATGTTTCAAGGACGCAATTTAGACCGAGACAACATCATAGGCGACATTTATTGGCGAGAGCAATATTTACATTTCTTTCGAGGCCATGATGGCCATCTATGGCCGCGTGTGGGGTATCAAAGAAACATAATTGAACCATTTTCTGAAAATGAAAAACTCAGTAGCGTTTTATTCCTTTATTACTTTCAGTTCTAGCAGTTGAATCAACGAAAATGTTTCTGAAAGTTGTCCAGTCAGCTCTCAACGTATTTAAAAGATCGTAATGCTATCCTTGTTTGGGGAAAAATAAACATTGGAAATGGGAACAAATCCTATCTTCTGGGCATGAGAATCCATGAAAGAGTTGAATGTTTTTGCCACACAGAAATCGAAGGGAGACCTTGTAAGCGAACGCTTTGTACAATCAAGTTTCCTCGTTTCATCCGTATCTATCAAACCCATCTTCACGGCAATGTCTTTCCTGCACGTCTCCTCTTGACCAAATAAAGTACATTCACGAGCTGGCGATGCAGCAAAATAAAACGGAGATGAAATAAAAGATTAAGACATTCACGATGGCCTGAAACTAGAAATATATTTTGTCTGTGTCATCATGTGTGAATAGAGTGTCAGAGATACATGACTGTGATATTATGTTCTATTTTCCGTGCAACTTTTGTCAAAAAGGGTTAATGTAAAAGTAAGAGCAAGCGTTGGGGAACATAATATGGGCTGGCAGACAGACCGACCAAATAGCAATTTGCCATGCAGATAATATAGACTAGGTTTACAATTAGAGAAAAGGGTATGCTTTCGAGTAATGATTATTATGATATTGCTTGAGAACTTTCCTAGCAGCAGAGTAATAAACAGAAGGCTGAACTGGTGTTTTTAAAGAATTCTCTACGATCATAATTTTACTTGTTTTGAGTGTGTGTTTCTGAAAAGAATAAACGAATACATATTATGTAGGTTCACACGTGAATGGCCTTGGGACAACGTCTGGCATTTAAAAGAGCCATTCTCTTCAAGGAACCTCTTCCAATAGACCTCAATTATAAAGGTTGTCTTATCCTCCTTACATCATCTGGAAGATTCTAACTAGTTCCCTTGTCACGGATATTGTTTCTGCAGCTGTTGCTACCGCTGTTCTAATTTATTGCAGCTATTGTTAATGCTGTTATCGACGTTGTTAATTTCTCTGTTTCTCTTTCTTTAATATTTTACTTTTTCATCTTAACAAACCGGGTGTCTTAGATATGCTCATAATATGAATTGGACAAAAGTAATATTGTGGGACAACATCTAGCATTTAAAAAGGCAATAATATGAATATTTCGGCTTGCGCTAATCATCGTTAATACAACAGCCCAGACTGGAACAACATTTACATCATCTTAACAAGCAGAACATTCATATCGTTGTAAATAGGTGCATTACGGACAGAAAAAAAACCCTAGGAATAACAGCATTGTTTGTTTTGTTAGCGAAAAAAGCAGAAACAACATCAGTGTCAGGTTCTTTTTAGAGGGGAGGGGGAAGAGGTGGGCACAAATAATCGAAAACCTGCCCAGGGATCATTCGGGTGGGTTATTTGTCTGCGTGCGTTGTCACGAACATAAAAAGAACCGCTTTAGGAAGTAGAGCACAGGAATATCCGATATTGATAAAACGTTTGAAGCCAACCTGAGGGGCGGGGAGGAAACGGGTGACAACATTTGAAGCTCATTGAATGAGTGGCTGTTGGTGTGCAGAGAGAATTATACCCACAAAGGGAGAAGGTGGAAACGAGGGCAAAGAC